AAGTCAAGGTAAACAACATCTATCGGGTCCCCTTTGTCCACATGTTTGTTCACTCCCTCAAAGAACACTAACAGGTTAGTGAGACAAGATCTTTCCTTACAGAACTTTTCCTTTCTTTCTGTGCAATCTTTTTTACTTTCAGTAAAACATCATATACATATAGACATTATACATAAGGAAAATGAATAGGGCAAATAACAGCAGACTGAGTCGTTTGTGTAGCTTTTAGATTTCCAGATCTGTAAGTCAATATAACTGAAATAAGGCCTTTTATCCTTTATGTGTAACCTCTACCCCAAAAACATTAAACTTTCTCTCCTTGGCAATCGACCTTGGAAAACAGTTTCCAACTCTCACTGAACTCTAAATTTGTTCTACTGCTTCAGACCAACACGGCTGACTGCCTGGATCTATCTCATTATCTCTGTAAGATTAGAGGACCATACATGTCAACTGAGATAGCCAGAACAGAAGATAACCATCCATTTACACCTGAACTTTCTAATCTTATCCAATTATGCAACCCTATCTTATTTAACTAATGGTATCATTAATTGACCTATCCTAGATACACGTGTCATCTCTTCTTTCACATTAGAGGTAGGATACTGACAATTCCAGTATTTAATAAAAGGTAACCAGACATCTGCAAATTTTCACCAGACCAAAATTTCCGAGACAACATATATTTAAGTATTGTAATCTGGCCCACAATTATCACATGCCAAATCTTAATTAGCCATTGATACTCTGTTGGTATCTCTACCTGTGCAAGCCCAGTTCTGGCTGCAATAATTCACTGTTTTCCCAGAGCTACATTTTTCTGATGTATATTTCCAAAAATCAGACTAAGCAAGTAAAGTTGGGGAGTCAATTCAAAAACGTATCCTATTATCCTTATAATTTCTTTATGAGCTAAAGTCCAGATGTTAAAAATTAAATCACAATTCCACCATAAGTGTAACAAAGTCCTCCTTTCGTTCTCACATTTTCAACACCTGATGATCTAGACATTTTAGCCAAAATAACCATTATTTAAAAAGGTAAAGGTTTCCCTTGCTTGAAAGCCAGTTGAATAGGGCACTCTAGGGGGTGGTGCTCATCTCCATTTCCAAGACGAAGAGCCAGCACTGTCTGAAGACGTGGTCATGTGGCCAGCATGACTAGACGCTGAGGTGCACAGAACGCTGTTACCTTCCCACCATTATTAGATGCCAGCAAAAGAACATCTCCAAGGAGTGTTCTTATGCCTATATTCAAAGATACTCTAGACATTCCTCTCAATGGTTTCCCCCATTGCTGTAATGGAATAGAAATTCCCAAATCTTCCTATTTAGTCCTAACTGTCCGATTAATTTTTACTTTCTCTTGTAGATGATATATTTTAGTCAAACTTCCTCTCACCTCAGTCTGGTTGTAAAATAATTTTTACAGATTTAGTGGTCAAAATATATGAGTTTTGTTCCTTTCTTGCGTGGAGGAAGCCGAGAGCTTCCTCTGGAGATGCAGAGGGACCTGATGAGTGCGGGGGGGCGGGGCGGGCAGTGGTCCATTTTATCTCCTGTGCCACGTAAACCTCTGGCTGCTGAGATCGTGTTCCCCTCCTGACCCACTCTGGGGGTGGGGGTGGACAATGGCCTGTGCCTTCACTTTCTGCCTTCGAGAAGGCGTGTCCAACGGTTTTATTGCAAAAGACATTTAGTGGAAAGTAAACTGTTTCGGCACACCTGGATCTGCTTATTTTAGCTTTCGTGCTCTTTTTATCTCCCCGGTTTAGTGTTATATGGTGTTTACTCATCTTACCTTTGGCATTATATGAGTCAACTTAGCAGTCATGGGATAAGAGGGCAGGTTCTCTTATGGAATAAAAATTGGGTAAAAGGCAGGAGGCAAAGAGTAGGACTCAGTGGACAGTTCTCACGATGAAGGGGAGTCAGCAGTGGGGTCGCACGGGGGTTGGCACTGGAGCTGGTGCTATGTAATTTGTTCACCATTGATCTGGATCTGGGGGTGAGCAGTGTAGTGGCCAAGTCTCCAAATGACACAAGACTATTCAGGGTGGCGAAAACCATAGATGGAGACCTTCAGGGGCATCTCCACAAATAGTGTGAGTGGGCAATGCAGGTATGTGCCAGGCAATGCATACCGGAATGAAAGAATCCCGACTTTAAGTATGGTCCGATGGGGTCTGAACTGGCAAAGGCTGGGAGGGGAAAAGATCTTGGGGTTGTAGCGGAAAGCTCAAGGAAAGCGCCCCCTCAGTGTGTGGCAGCAGTGAAAGAGGCAGGCTTCTCGCTGGGGGTCTGCCACGCCCCTGGGTGCCCTACCCGTGGGGGAGAAAGGGTGGAGCCGGGGCCCGACGTGTAGAGCCCAAGGGAGGCGAGGGGCGGCTTCTTGTCCTCACTTGGTCCCACCGTCCCGGAGGCCCGTCAGCTGCTCCAAAGCATCCCAGAGTTTGCGGGCGATGCCTGGATCTTGGGCACGGTCCGCAGGCAGCACCAGGCTGCAGTCGCTGTCAAAGTACTTGCCCGTGATGCCCTCGACTTCCCTGGAGACGGCACAGTACAGCGTGCTGGTGGCACCCTCTTCTGCGGACTGTGGGGGAGGGGACAGGGAGCAGACGTCAGCCAGAGTGTGGCCACTCCCTCCACCCAGACCGGCCCGGGCATTCGGCTGGGACTGGGGCAGAGATCGCCCCGCACAAAGGCCCCGCTCCCTCCCGAGCTGTTGCTCCCCCACCCCTCGGGGCCACTGAGGCAGAGACAGACCTTGGGCCCCGTGGTGGCCCAAGAAAGAACCCTGCGGCAGGCGTGGGGGTGGGTTCCAGCTGGCAGGCTGACCTGCTGGGGGTGTCATCCCAGAAGCCCACGGGG